TGCGGTATGCATTAAATAATACTTTAATTACTTTTAATTCAGAAAAGAGTTAGAAATAGTGAATTTTTTTTATCTTTTACATTTTTAAAATACATTTTTCATTTCAAGAAATCAAACGCGCATAACTTTTAGTGGGGTCCATTTATTATTTGGCGTATACTTAGAATAATAAAACGTTGCTGTCCCAGGATATATGCCCTCGTTGACTGAAACTGCATCAAAGCGTGTGCCATCAAAACATGACTGCAATCACTAACACCGCTACTCACCTAGCGTGTGCCATCAAAACATGACTGCAATCACTAACACCGCTACTCACCTAGCGTGTACCATCAAAACATGACTGCAATCACTAACACCGCTACTCACCTAGCGTGTGCCATCAAAACATGACTGCAATCACTAACACCGCTACTCACCTAGCGTGTGCCATCAAAACATGACTGCAATCACTAACACCGCTACTCACCTAGCGTGTGCCATCAAAACATGACTGCAATCACTAACACCGCTACTCACCTAGCGTGTGCCATCAAAACATGACTGCAATCACTAACACCGCTACTCACCTAGCGTGTGCCATCAAAACATGACTGCAATCACTAACACCGCTACTCACCTAGCGTGTGCCATCAAAACATGACTGCAATCACTAACACCGCTACTCACCTAGCGTGTGCCATCAAAACATGACTGCAATCACTAACACCGCTACTCACCTAGCGTGTACCATCAAAACATGACTGCAATCACTAACACCGCTACTCACCTAGCGTGTACCATCAAAACATGACTGCAATCACTAACACCGCTACTCACCTAGCGTGTACCATCAAAACATGACTGCAATCACTAACACCGCTACTCACCTAGCGTGTACCATCAAAACATGACTGCAATCACTAACACCGCTACTCACCTAGCGTGTACCATCAAAACATGACTGCAATCACTAACACCGCTACTCACCTAGCGTGTACCATCAAAACATGACTGCAATCACTAACACCGCTACTCACCTAGCGTGTACCATCAAAACATGACTGCAATCACTAACACCGCTACTCACCTAGCGTGTGCCATCAAAACATGACTGCAATCACTAACACCGCTACTCACCTAGCGTGTGCCATCAAAACATGACTGCAATCACTAACACCGCTACTCACCTAGCGTGTACCATCAAAACATGACTGCAATCACTAACACCGCTACTCACCTAGCGTGTACCATCAAAACATGACTGCAATCACTAACACCGCTACTCACCTAGCGTGTACCATCAAAACATGACTGCAATCACTAACACCGCTACTCACCTAGCGTGTACCATCAAAACATGACTGCAATCACTAACACCGCTACTCATCTAGCGTGTACCATCAAAACATGACTGCAATCACTAACACCGCTACTCACCTAGCGTGTACCATCAAAACATGACTGCAATCACTAACACCGCTACTCACCTAGCGTGTACCATCAAAACATGACTGCAATCACTAACACCGCTACTCACCTAGCGTGTACCATCAAAACATGACTGCAATCACTAACACCGCTACTCACCTAGCGTGTACCATCAAAACATGACTGCAATCACTAACACCGCTACTCACCTAGCGTGTACCATCAAAACATGACTGCAATCACTAACACCGCTACTCACCTAGCGTGTACCATCAAAACATGACTGCAATCACTAACACCGCTACTCACCTAGCGTGTACCATCAAAACATGACTGCAATCACTAACACCGCTACTCACCTAGCGTGTACCATCAAAACATGACTGCAATCACTAACACCGCTACTCACCTAGCGTGTACCATCAAAACATGACTGCAATCACTAACACCGCTACTCACCTAGCGTGTACCATCAAAACATGACTGCAATCACTAACACCGCTACTCACCTAGCGTGTGCCATCAAAACATGACTGCAATCACTAACACCGCTACTCACCTAGCGTGTACCATCAAAACATGACTGCAATCACTAACACCGCTACTCACCTAGCGTGTACCATCAAAACATGACTGCAATCACTAACACCGCTACTCACCTAGCGTGTGCCATCAAAACATGACTGCAATCACTAACACCGCTACTCACCTAGCGTGTGCCATCAAAACATGACTGCAATCACTAACACCGCTACTCACCTAGCGTGTGCCATCAAAACATGACTGCAATCACTAACACCGCTACTCACCTAGCGTGTACCATCAAAACATGACTGCAATCACTAACACCGCTACTCACCTAGCGTGTACCATCAAAACATGACTGCAATCACTAACACCGCTACTCACCTAGCGTGTACCATCAAAACATGACTGCAATCACTAACACCGCTACTCACCTAGCGTGTACCATCAAAACATGACTGCAATCACTAACACCGCTACTCACCTAGCGTGTACCATCAAAACATGACTGCAATCACTAACACCGCTACTCACCTAGCGTGTACCATCAAAACATGACTGCAATCACTAACACCGCTACTCACCTAGCGTGTGCCATCAAAACATGACTGCAATCACTAACACCGCTACTCACCTAGCGTGTGCCATCAAAACATGACTGCAATCACTAACACCGCTACTCACCTAGCGTGTACCATCAAAACATGACTGCAATCACTAACACCGCTACTCACCTAGCGTGTACCATCAAAACATGACTGCAATCACTAACACCGCTACTCACCTAGCGTGTACCATCAAAACATGACTGCAATCACTAACACCGCTACTCACCTAGCGTGTACCATCAAAACATGACTGCAATCACTAACACCGCTACTCACCTAGCGTGTACCATCAAAACATGACTGCAATCACTAACACCGCTACTCACCTAGCGTGTACCATCAAAACATGACTGCAATCACTAACACCGCTACTCACCTAGCGTGTGCCATCAAAACATGACTGCAATCACTAACACCGCTACTCACCTAGCGTGTACCATCAAAACATGACTGCAATCACTAACACCGCTACTCACCTAGCGTGTACCATCAAAACATGACTGCAATCACTAACACCGCTACTCACCTAGCGTGTGCCATCAAAACATGACTGCAATCACTAACACCGCTACTCACCTAGCGTGTGCCATCAAAACATGACTGCAATCACTAACACCGCTACTCACCTAGCGTGTGCCATCAAAACATGACTGCAATCACTAACACCGCTACTCACCTAGCGTGTACCATCAAAACATGACTGCAATCACTAACACCGCTACTCACCTAGCGTGTACCATCAAAACATGACTGCAATCACTAACACCGCTACTCACCTAGCGTGTACCATCAAAACATGACTGCAATCACTAACACCGCTACTCACCTAGCGTGTACCATCAAAACATGACTGCAATCACTAACACCGCTACTCACCTAGCGTGTACCATCAAAACATGACTGTTATTTTGTGACGGTGTGTGATGAAGGGAAGGGGGAGGGGGGTTCAGATGGTTTGACGTCACACTTTTGCATTATAAAAAAGCAATGTTAGAAAACGAATTTTAGCCGTTATTTCGCGTTTTAGAAAACTGTTTTTTTATAAATTGTAAAAGAAATTGATTAAAATACTCTATGTTGATAGAGTTCTGAGAAAAATATCAATGACTGAGATGTGACGTCATTTTATGGAACGAGGGTAGGGGAGGGATGTAAAAATCGTCCAAAACAGCTTGACGTCATTCATTGATAACCGATTGTACTAGTTTAACACATACCATGGGTTACCAATCAGGGGGGATAATTTAAACCTTATTTGGTTGCGGCCCGTGGGACCCCAGCTGTTGATGTTGTTGTTGTTTTTGTGTTCTTCGGTGAGCAATGTTTCACCGTGTTTCCCATGTCACGTGACCTCTGGGACCCTGTGTAGTTGCGACTGTGTCAACTGGATTCAAACTCCAGGCTGCTGGTGACAAGGACGGTATGCTGACAATTGACATGGGCATAGAATGCTAGAGTAATGTTTATAGACCTAACGAAGGTATTGTAATTTTATATTATACTATTTGCCGCATGTTTCGGACTAGACATGTGAAGTAAGTTAATTATATTTATAATACGTGTTGGCAGTATATTGTCATACTGGCCGTAACACATTCTACTGTATTATTTTATAACGAGACTGCTAGTTTGCTAAGCCTCGGCGACTGTGTATTTCATATAACCTAATCGTGGTATTGTATATACAAGTATGTAATCTGGAATTGATCAGCCCAAAACCACACTACGCCACAGTGGGTGATCATCATTCATCACACTATATCCCAACTGAGGCAGTGTTACACTAGCGCATCGTAGAGTCATACTTTAATCCCAGCTTTAAATATATAGTACAACCGACACAAACATCTTTTTTTTTATATTTACTTTTGTAAAAGATGTTTAATCGGACTAAATATAACCAGCTCCAAAACTAACATCTGTTGTAAGTTATGTATTGTTTATGAAATAGAGTATAAAACATAATTAACAAAAGTACAGTCAATAACGAGGCATGAATAATTAAGTAGTATAAAATAATATGCATAAAATACAGTATTTCAACATACAGCTTGACTTGCTTATTGTGTTAATAGCGAACCAGTAGGTCGTTCATGTATTGATCGGTATCGTTGTTAGAAATTTGATGTATTGTATCGGACTGACTTCAACACAAATATATTTGATGATGTACAAGGATTTAACACATCTGTATTCGAAAATAAAATAAATGGGATAATTTTTTTATTATAAAATGAATTTCATAAATTCTCAAGACCTGTCAGATTTGAGAGTGTGTTTATAAAAAACAAAAACAAAAAAACACAACTACGACACTTTGAAGACTTTTACCTACATCAAATACGATACGACCACCTGTTAACGCCAGCTACGATATTTTCAATGCATAGGTAGTGTTGTGAAAAGTTTCCTCCGCATATAGTGCGCAGCTATTGTATCTACTCTTCCCTAGAGGACATGGATTATCTACAGCAGTTTAAAAGTTTGAGTGAACTGGTCTCCTACGTCCGACTCAAGTTTCAAATCTCTGCCACTACCAACGCTCTAAAGAAAGTAAGTAGAGAATTTGAATTTTTTTTTAAACTTGTCGTCGCTGAATGTTAAAGTATTGGCGACTGTGATGATGGTAGTTTAAAAATGTAAACAATGTGTAAGAAGTGTGTAAGAGAGTGGCCTCCCCTGGAAAGTGGGTAGAGTAATGCACTGGTGTGCTAGTTAGGCTGGAGTTGTGTGTGACTGGAGTGGATGTGATGCGTTTGATGGAGTTGGGCTGTGGTGAAATGTTTATACCTTAGAGGATCGAATATATTCTTTTGCTCGAACTACACAAGGGAGGCCCTGTCCTAGCGGTAGAGCATTAGACTTCAAACCCGAAAGTCGCGAGTTCGAATCCTGGCATAAGTCAGTAGAACGTCCCTCAGTCAACCCAGCTCGGATGGGTACCTAAATCACGTTAGGGAAAATAAAGGCGGCTGGGCATAGTGCTGACGAAACTATCCCTTCTTATGTCGAGGTCACTGTAACAGATGAACTCTTCTTCATGAGCACGAATTGGAAAAGATGAGATGACATAAGAGTTCGTTAAGAGGGTTGGCGCTTATTTAAGGTACATCCGTATGTTTCCATTAAAAGCAATTTAGTGAGAAAATCTTGGTAACTATGACAACGCGGCCACCTTGAAAAAATTAACCTATTCGTAGGATATCCACCATTCATACAGTTATATTTTAAGCCGATTAAAAATGAATTCATAATCTTCTGCCATACTGTTGGGGGACTCAGCTAAATATTTTAAGTGCAGATCTTCAAACTAATTTATTATGAATTTTCAAATTTTGGGTCCGGCAAAAACACTCAAATTTGTATGAGTTTTGGGGGTCTTAAATTTAGTTTTTTTTACTTGAGCCAACCCCCTTAATTGTGTTCAATTAAATCTTTGTTCCACCTGGAACAACTAGCCATAAAACATAATAGGTTACGTGTAACAGCCATACATGATCAATGCACGTAGGTAAATATGTTACAACATTCTATTTTTAGATACTGATTAGCATGCCTTTCGCAGTTGTTGTTTTAGAAACGTATACTCTGCTTTAGCTGTATAGAAGAAAACAAAACTAATTCTTCAATCGATCAGTTTCTCGACAGATTTATACCGGATGAGCAGTGAATGTCCTTAACCCTTAGACCTATAGACGTGGTGTTGAAACGGACATTTCACTTAGTAATGTTCTAGAGTTCCCATAACCCGATTCTTTCCACCAGAATTTGGTACCACACAATACATAGTTGGATGATGTGTGGCGGAGGGGGGGATATTTCCAGCCCAGCACTTAAAGCTGAGTAGAATATCTACCACTTCTGATGGTCGTGATATTTAACGTATATTTCAGTGCAGTTTTAGGTAGTTGATTTGTTCTGTAAGTTCAGCTTCATGACATAAATGTATCTAGTGATCGCTATTTTTTTCTTTGACTCCAGGACCTATCAAGGCCATCACTGAAACAATGCTTTGATCTGCTCCGACATTCAGGCCGTAGTTTTTATCTCAACATTTCTGCTCTCAAAGGTTTACCAAGGTCAGAAAAAGACATCAATACAACAAGATATCCAAGTAGATTTAAATAGCTTTGATGTTTTATCACACGACAAAGTCGCTTATCGTGAATTAAAAGTTAAAGCTCTCCAAGAATTAAAAAAAAAATTAAGATGTTTGGAAAAAAATAGTTTTTTGTTAATTTCATTAAAATAAAATTGTAAGTCTTTATGGGTGCTTTAAACCAAAATGAAATTGTGTCCCATTTGCTTATATGTCAAAGTTGGTAAACAAGTTTTCGTTTTTTTTTTTATCTATAAATTTTAAAAATATATACATTCAACTTTATTGAAGTACGAAAAAAAGTAAAATTTCCTCTTTAGACTTAGCGATCCATTGGGTAGATGAAGTATATGTTTCTTGACCTCGGCATATGAATGGAAGGTCAGCACTTTGCCCAGCCGCCTTTACTTTCCCTAACATTACCAAGTAATAATTATTAAAATGTGCGACCATTTAACAATTATAAAAATGTGCGAGCAACAGTCCAACACATTGGATTAATACTTTGAGCTCTTCCACCAGAGATGGCATCTGTATCTACTACTTGATCGTCCGAGCCATGGACACGATAGAGGACGACATGACCATACCATGTGAGGTCAAACATTCGATACTGAGATCTTTCGACACTATAGTGAGAGACGAGGGCTGGAGCTTCACACAAAGTCAGGACAAGGATGCTGTCGTACTGGAGATGTTCCCAAGTGTAAGATTTGATTTATATGCTTGCTTTAGTTGGTGTTTAGATTAACTACAAATGGTAGTTGCAGTAAGGTAAATTCAATTAGTAATAAAACAGTGTTAGTTACCTCACAAGTTAAAGACAGTTACAAATACTACGGACGTTAGATCCAAGGTCTACGTCAGCACACAACAGTGTGGTTACAGATTAGACAGAAAACACAAACAGTAACACAATTTTGGACTTGGCTCGACAGTGAAAACACGTCTTGTCTAAATGTCGAGCTATAGTATTTGTAAGGGCCTTAACAACTAACACTATCTGTTTTTATTACTAATTGTGTTTACATTAAACTCAACTGTAGGAGCAAATAAAACTATATTTGAAATGCTCTAATTAAGATATAAAATGAACATTAACGGCAGATTTTTTTTCGAAAAATTTGAATGTTAACAATGCACGATAAGTTGAAATATTTTTGCGCTTGTTCTATTGATTAAACTAAAAAACACAACTACACAATTGTTAATAACGTAATAAATCTATATTATGTTCAAAATACTCTTGGGTTAAAATATTGATTTCCCTGTTTACGAAGATTTCCAAAGAATTTAATCGACTACCTGAATCTTACCAAAACGTCATTATGGAAGATTTACGAGGAATTGGAGAAAGCTTTGCGACATCCAATGAAATTCCTTGTTACAATTTAGAGGAATTTGAAAAGGTACAATTTTTAATTGAAAAATGTAAACAGTTATTTTTCTAAAGATCATTTAAGTGGTATAATTCTATATTTGGAAATATGCATATTTTTTTACACAATTTTTCTTTTCAAATAGGTTTTTTTTTATCAGGAACGTAAAGCAAGTTCCGAATCTGTTGTAAAACACAACAGAAAATGTTAATAAATCTAATAATTCAACATGTTTTCCTGTTTGTATATAGCGTATTATTTTTTAATAAAACGTGTAAATAAAATAGTACATATTAGTTAAATTTCACATTCGTTTTTCTGGGTGTGTACAGTACTGAAGATATTCAGCTGGGATACCTTTGATACAAATTCGTTTTTCTATGTGTGTACAATACTGTAGATACTAAGCTGAGATTCCTTTGATACAAATTCATATTTCTGATGGTGTACAGTACTGTAGATATTCAGCTGGAATACCTTTGATACAAATGCGTCAGATGCTTCACATGGCTGAGCCCGTGACAGATTATGAGAAGACCTGGATTAAAAACTTCGGACACTTGTTCCAGATGACCAACGACTTACGCGACATACGTCATGACATTGTCATTGACAGGAAACGTCTCTGGCCTGAATCTGTGAGTTTAAATACTGCTCATCTGTAAGGTTTTTTTTTTTAAATAATGCTTTAATCATAGTAAAATGAATTCAGTCTTTTTGTTTTGCTACGGTAATTTTAAACCATACACTATAGCTAAATAAGATTTCGCTATAAATATTAACCTATTCCCGTTAGCAAATCTTAATATGAACCAACAAACAATTCAATTTTAGGAAACAAAATTTTTGTTATGTATTTTAAAATACCATTACTTGAGATTGTTTATATAAATGAAGCATTTCATTCAAAAAGGTATCTATTCTATATTTCTTTTTCTAAGGTGTGGAAGAAATATACGAAAGATATAAGAGACTTAATATTACCAGAGAATGAAGTTCAAGGACTAGCTTGTCTAAATGAACTTGTAACATACGCTCTAGACCACGTTCCGTCCTGTGTTTCCTTTCTTAAACTCTGCCCAACTGAAGAGTGCCTCAAGTTCTTCGCTGTGCTGCAGGTTAGATTTGTAGAATAGTTTTACCACGCACCAGAAGGGTTTCGTTTTTTTGTGTTATTGATTTTATTTTAAATGTGTACAATCATTCAGCTTGATTTGAAGCTGTGGTTTACAGTTAGTGAATATACATTGACATACGGCAGGCCATGTTCAAGACATAGGCCGGCTGGATAAAGGAAGGCTGGAGAAATGGTATATAGAGGGTAGATTGACTCTATATTGGCTAAGTTAATGATCAGTTATGTAGATGAAAAGTGTTCTGATGAATTTAAACTGGGCATAAGGTTCTGGACAGGTCTAGTAGTAATTACCCTTCCGCTCCTGACGGTCCAGGGAGCAGGTGAAGTAGAGTGTTTCAGGTTTAGTTTGCGTGTAAAGTGGAGATTGGTGGCGGCTTTCTGGTAGACATTGGGTTTTAAGGGCTTTCTAGACACAGGTCAACTGAAATTTACTCCAGACATTTTAATTAGTTGTTGTTGTTGTATAAGGTTTTATATACCCACAGCCAAATAGTTTAACCAGTGGTTGTCAACATGACGTAGACTGTCCCTGAGTCCACCCAGCTCTGATGGGTACCTGACTCACGTTAGGGAAAGTAAAGGCGGCTGGGCATAGTGCTGACCACACTATCTCTTCATATGTCGAGGTCACAGGAACAAGTGAACTCTACTCCACTTGCCCCATAGACCGTCAGGTTTGAAAGGGAACTTTATCAACATGACTCCAAATCTCAGGTCATGGCAGTGGCAACACTAGAACGCCTCTACAACAACCCGCAAGTTTTTCGCCACATCATCAAGATACGGAGGGGTGAGGCGGCGTACATCATGGTCAACTCGACCTCCATGCAAAACGTCAAGGCTATGAATGCTCATTATATTGCCAAGGTAACCAAGACTTACACGCAGCACAACTGCACGTGTGCTCAGCATAACAAGTTAATTAGGATTAATTAAATTTAAGTTTCTTTGATTTGAAACAATAATTAGTCTTGAGGGTCATCCATAAATGACGTCAAACGTTTTTGACGATTTATACCTCCCCCTGCCCTCTGGCACACATCGTCACAAAAAGCCAGACCCACCCCCCTAAATGATGTCACACCTCAGCCTACAACCCCCCCCCCCCCCAAAAAAAAATTACAGTTGAATTTTTCTTAAAACTTCGATATTTTTCCAAAATCTTCTCTGAACTCTGTCAACATAGAGTATTTTAATCAATTTCTATTACAATTTATTAAGACTTTTCTAAAACGCAAAGTAACGGCTTAAGCTCGTTTTCTAACGTGGCACTTTTATAATTCACAAATGTGACATCACACCATCTGAACCCCCCCTCCTTCACACACCGTCACAAAATTACGGACCCTCCTACGAGTGTAACGCCATTTATGGACGACCCCTTGAGTATCAGTGAGTTAAATATTTGTTCTATAATGAATTGACCTATAAACAAATCCACCCCCAGATACAGACCAGAGTACCAAAAGACGACCCAAACTACACCAGAACGAGACAAGTCTGTGAGGCCGCCCTCAGCGTTGTACAAGATGTCACAGCACCGAAGACGTTCAATGGCTTCCATCTGGTTCTCTCTGTCCTTATATTTGCTCTGTTTTGTATTGTGTTGGGTTTTGTGGCTGAGGCAAGGCTTGTTAATAAAGGCAATAGTCTCTAAACAAATACATATACCAAAGTTGTCCTATAAGAGTATGTGAGAGAGAATATCAGTAAACTGTCTTCTTAACACTGTGTTCAGAGGCTAGTACTAATTATTACTGTATGTTCAAGAAAAATTCATAAAACGTGTTTAAATATGCCAGAAAAATTAAGCTATTTATACTATTTATTTACAAATATTAATTTTAATTTTAAATGAATCATTGTATCGTTTTTGTAATACCTTTTTTCTTTGAGATATATATTTCAGAAGCATTAATTAATGTAACTTCGGCATAACTTGAAGTAATTGTGTTAACTCTATATCGGAAGTATAAGAAATGTGTGGAGTTGTATTGCATTTCTAAAATGCAAGTTAAAGCTGTATTATATTGTTTAATTATTGATTGAAGAATTCTTCACAGACTGTAAAAGTTTTATCGATCTCCCCCACCCCTCCTCCACCCCTTCAGTAAAAAATATTAACATTAGTGTTGTTCGGAGTTAGTTAAATAAGGGGAGACAATACAGTTTATTTGAGAGCATAAAATCAATAACAAGTAATAAGTGTATAAATGTCAATACATCTTGTCATTGACTGAGTGATTGGTTTGTCCAAAATCTTAATTATGTAAAACTTTGAAGTTTAAAATCAAATAGCTGAATATGTGTAGAATATGTACATAAATCGTGGGATGGCTTAGTCGAATAGTAGAGCGGTTACCTGCTAGTCCATAGATCTCAAATTCATGTTGGTTCAGACGTGTGACTGTAGGATGTAGCTGAGTCCACCCAGCTCTGATGGGTACCTGACTCACTGAGTCCACCCAGCTCTGATGGGTACCTGACTCACTGAGTCCACCCAGCTCTGATGGGTACCTGACTCACTGAGTCCACCCAGCTCTGATGGGTACCTGACTCACTGAGTCCACCCAGCTCTGATGGGTACCTGACTCACTGAGTCCACCCAGCTCTGATGGGTACCTGACTCACTGAGTCCACCCAGCTCTGATGGGTACCTGACTCACTGAGTCCACCCAGCTCTGATGGGTACCTGACTGAGTCCACCCAGCTCTGATGGGTACCTGACTGAGTCCACCCAGCTCTGATGGGTACCTGACTGAGTCCACCCAGCTCTGATGGGTACCTGACTGAGTCCACCCAGCTCTGATGGGTACCTGACTCACTGAGTCCACCCAGCTCTGATGGGTACCTGACTCACTGAGTCCACCCAGCTCTGATGGGTACCTGACTCAGAGTCCACCCAGCTCTGATGGGTACCTGACTCACTGAGTCCACCCAGCTCTGATGGGTACCTGACTCAGAGTCCACCCAGCTCTGATGGGTACCTGACTCACTGAGTCCACCCAGCTCTGATGGGTACCTGACTCACTGAGTCCACCCAGCTCTGATGGGTACCTGACTCAGAGTCCACCCAGCTCTGATGGGTACCTGACTCACTGAGTCCACCCAGCTCTGATGGGTACACGACTCACTGAGTCCACCCAGCTCTGATGGGTACCTGACTTATGGACTAGCATATAGTACTCCAACGATAAAAAATAATAAAAACATACATATTTAATACAAATTAAGCAACTTGAATATATTTTTATTTCAACAAAACCTTTTTTTTAATTGCATGCACATGCCGTTTACTCAAAACCATACACATAGATTCGATAATCTTAAAAGCATTTGGGGTCAACTAAGAAAAACAATTACTCGCGGAACTATGGAAAGTAAAATGAAGACACACTTGATGGGGGTCTGGCACTTATGGGTGAGTGATGTTTGGGTCGATCATGCACAGGTTACAGAACTTCCTGCAGTATTTGTGTCCATCCACAGCGTCCAAACAGATGGGGTGAGCAGTCTCGTTCATCAGAGCACAGTCGCGGACGGTGAGCATGTCGCTACACAAACTGGGGTGGAGGGTGGCTGAGGGCAGGTGGAGTAGAGTATTACACGTTATGATGTGAATTTGTGTATGGGTTCTGTCTGTTATGCTTTTATTTCTGTATAATCAGAACTGTATTTAATGTTTCAATCTAATTATTTTTAATCGTGTTTATTGATGAACTGGTGTATTAGCGATTTCATAGTGTATCTTTCCCTTTGTTAAAATCAATATATTTTTCAGTTAAATGAGTGGACAAAGAGTCAATTCACTTAATCAACACACCTACACACACGGGGAGGGTGTTACAGTTACACATACAATAACAACGAGAGATGAAGAAGATATATAAGAGATTACAACCTAGGCTTAGTTGATCTAAGTGAGATTTAGAAGCAGGATTAGTAACACGATTTATGTTAAGGTTCCTTTATATCAATTTCGTATCTTGCTGAATACAAACGAAACCTATTTTAAAACTGCGCTAAAAATTAAAAAATAAACAACTTACGGCATCCAAGCTCATCAGAGGCGTCACCACAATCATTGTCCTTGTCGCATTTCCAGTTGATTGGGATACATGGGCCGTTGGCGCATTTAAACTGGGTGTTCTCATCACATACTGAAATAAAATTGAAACATAACAATGAAGACAATCCAAGTTTTGTTAAGTTCTTAACCACCGCATGCGCACAACCCAGGGCTAAACTAGAAGAGGTCAGGTTGACCTTACCGCAGTTGAGCTCGTCACTGGAGTCAGCACAATCTCTGTCTCCGTCACACTCCCATCTGGCGTCGATACACTTGGAGCCGTCAGCACATTTGAACTGGTTGGCTGCACAGGAGCCGGCTTAGGGAGAAATAGGTAGGTGTAAGCATTATCAGAATTGTTATGTAAGTGTACCACAAGCATAACCGAATTTCTTACTTTTGATAGATATGAACAAAATTGTAAGTATAAAACAAGCACTTGAATATATTATACCTTTTATATAAAAAATATACATCATAGTCGATAATTATACTATTATACCACAAAACTGATGTCAGTTTGGTAATGTTTACTATGTTTTAATTAAGGGCCATAACTCACTGCAGTTTCTCTCATCCCAGTTGTCCCCGCAATCATTGTCCCCATCACATAGCCAGGTGGTGTCAATACACAGGAAGTTGTCACAGTGGACGTTGCCAGGTGTACATTCTACTTTATCTGTACACAAACATGGCGCTCGTTAAGTTTGATGTTGGGAATACATGTTGTATCGTATCATTCAAAATAATCTCTATACAGATGTAGCTATTCTCTGAACTTTTTCTTAAGGTTTTAAACTCCATGATGTCTACCTCGAGTCGTTAGACATGTCGTCACAGTCGTAGTGACCATCGAAATTTACGACTGTTAGTGGTCACCATCACAACTTACGGCAGTCTGTCTCATCCGACATGTCCCCACAGTCGTTGTCACCATCACAACTTACGGCAGTCTGTCTCATCAGACATGTCCCCACAGTCGTTGTCACCATCACAACTTACGGCAGTCTGTCTCATCAGACATGTCCCCACAGTCGTTGTCACCATCACAACTTACGGCAGTCTGTCTCATCAGACATGTCCCCACAGTCGTTGTCACCATCACAACTTACGGCAGTCTGTCTCATCAGACATGTCCCCACAGTCGTTGTCACCATCACAACTTACGGCAGTCTGTCTCATCAGACATGTCCCCACAGTCGTTGTCACCATCACAACTTACGGCAGTCTGTCTCATCAGACATGTCCCCACAGTCGTTGTCACCATCACACTGGAACTCTCTGGTGATACATTTGCCGTCCCCACACTTGAATTGGTGCTCCCCGCTACAGTCGCTGGCTGGAGGATAGAGTGGGGAGATATATCAGGATATTGGGTGGTAAATGCGTAGAGTTTATATCATAACATTAGGTGGTAAATAGGTGGCGCTTATATCAGGACATTGGGTGGTAAATGTGTGAGACTTATATCATGACATTTGATGGTAAATAAGTGGGGCTTATATCAGGACATTAGGTGGTAAATGTGTGAAGCTTATATCAGGATATTAGGTGGTAAATGTTTGGGGATTTATATCACGATATTTGGTGGTAAATGTTTTTTTTTGGAGTTACATCAGGATATTGGGTGGTAAATGTATGGCGCTTATATCAGGACATTGGATGGTAAATGTGTGAGACTCATATCAGGACATGATTTTGTGGACAAATCTCACAACAGCAAGAACATTGGGACATGTCCCCAGGAGAAGATGTACGAAGTCACTCACGGCAATTGGCCTCATCTGAGCCGTCCCCACAATCGTTGTCAAAGTCACACTGCCACTCCGGCTGGACGCAGTTACCGTTGGTACACTGAAACTGGTTGGGTGCGCAGCTGACTGGGTTTAAGGTAAGGGAATAAAACACATCATGTTATCAGAGTTATCAAAGTATGGAATCATATTATTTTAAACTGTTAGTGGTGTAAGGAGATAAATTAAAACATGGTGCAAAACACCTCGCATTAAAGTTTTATAACAGTAAATCAAGTTTTTAAAAGTCAAGAATGTGAAATCATCAGTAACGCTATGATTAAAATGTGTATGTGTGTTGAAATTCATTGACAACCTATCCCAATACTCTACCAAAACAAATACGTAGGTTTATCACTCAATTGCCTAACACGTAACCTATAACACTGCCTACTGACCATTAATTTAAAAATTCACATTCAGATTTTACTGTAATCCAATTCAGCTCTTGAATACGCCGATGATACCAAGATTGTTAAATTATAAAAATAAACGGGGCAGTACTTATTTTTAATCCTTTCTGATTAATACCTTTGTGTAATTTTTGCCAAGACTAACCCTATAATATGTTACCTAACTTTGCCAAGAATTACCCTATAAAATATTACCTAACTCTGCCAAGACTTACCATATAAAATATTACCTAACTTTGCCAAGACTTACCATATAAAATATTACCTAACTTTGCCAAGACTTACCCTATAACATGTTACATAACTTTGCCAAGACTTACCCTATATGTTACCTAACTTTGCCAAGACTTACCCTATATGTTACCTAACTTTGCCAAGACTTACCCTATATGTTACCTAATTTTGCCAAGACTTACCCTATATGTTACCTAATTTTGAAAAGACTTAGCATATAAAATATTACCTAACTTTGCCAGGACCTACCCTATAGTATGTTACCTAACTTTGCCAAGACTTACCCTATATGTTACCAAGACTTACCCTGTCTCCTGTAGACACTGCCAGGCTTTAAGCTCCTTGCCTTCAGCTTGTATTTCTTGTCTTTCTTGCCTTCACTCACAGCCAGAACAAGGGCCACAACCAACACACAAACTTTCCAAGCCTCCATTTCAGTTTGAGTGTATAAGTGTCACTAAGAGGCAACCTTATCTTTTTTATACAAGAAATCTGGGGTTTTATTTTTTTTTAAATAAAAATATTTTTTTTTAAAAATGTAAGCTCTAAGTATAGGCGTTACCGTAATGTGGTTGAATAATTTGTTAATGATACCATTTTATGGGGATCACTATTGGCTCAATTGTAGCACACTAACACAATCGATATTTTTTTTTAAAGTATTTAAAGTGGTTAATAAAAATTAAATCCTGATACAAAAAAAAATATAGTTTGAATGTGACATTTATGTTTATCTTTGTCTAAAACATGTGGAAACTAGACCGTGTGCAGCTGTAGTCCAGTACACATTAATTGATGTAATCCTTTTAATCCACAGATGATTGATTATCCCAGGCAGTTTCGCCAGAGCCAGGGGATTATCGCGATGTAACCCAGATGGGGAGGGGGGACTTCAAGACTTCTGTAATGGCTCAATGAAAAACTACTACCACTTCGCACTTTCTCAACAAGTCCCTATGTTGCCAGAAGATAAATCAAATTACTGATGATTAAAGAACTTATAGTGATAATCACAATCAACGGGGGGGGGGGATCATAATAATGGCAAGTCACTCCATCGGAAAGATGCAAATTAAATTACTAGACCAAATCATCTTTGCAACCTACAGTTAAATTTTAAGAAAGAGAGGTAAGAGTCTTAAAGAAAAATACAGCTCTTTGTTGAATGTCGCCTAAGCCTTACGTTATTTCTTCTTATTCTTAATCCTGTTAGTGCCCAAAGATACATTGGGCAGATGAAGTAGAGTTCATCTGATTCATAGACATCGGCATATGAAGCGATAGTGTAGTCAGCACTATGCCTAGCCGCTTTTTTTCCCCTAACGTAAGTTCTGTACCCATCAGAGCTGGGTGCACTCAGGGACGTCCCAATGATTTGAACTTACGTTCTTTGGGGACCCAACTTGAAATAATACGTTCCCAAACAATAGTGGGCTCAGTGTTCCAATGGTCTTGGGTTTAAGTTTATTATCGACATAATATGACTGTCATGTCAAACAGACTTTGTCTAAACAAACAGACCACACATTCATTTTTCTATTGTGTTGGACACGGTAACTGATGTTAGGGCTCATCCGAAATTTTCGAGTGCGATTTTCAAGTGAAATATGAGCAGGCGTAACTAACGTCTATAATTCAAAGAAAGTAAGTTGTAATGGCAACACTATGAAATACTTTGTATCTGCTGTAAATCAATACACTTGATACACCTATACGCTAACTGTATTGTAATAGGATAATATTAACTGATAATATTTGATGAAATAAAAAAAAGTAAGCATGTTAAATTTAGATTAGAGTTAGAAGAAGAAAACCTAAATACACTGACGTGGCATCATTTTTTTTAAAGGAAAAGATTAGATTTAGAATTTTTTATGTGCTCTTTAATTGGACAGTGGGTTACTGTTATCTAATTATGTCCACGGTTTTTTCTTTATTTCAGAACGATATTATATTGTTAATGCCTAAATAATATGTTAGAAAGTCAGCGTCGTATTTACGGAGGGAATGTCAATCAATGCACTAGTTTTATAAAGGGGTGGACTGACCCGCCTAAAAGAAACCGGTGGGCCCCCCCCCCCCCCCCAAAAAATCTCGGTGGGCCCCCAGGAAAAAATCTCGGTTTGTTAGAAAAAAATGCAATGGGCCCCGAGGAACCTATTAGTGTTTTAATTTTTTTAAACAATTTGTTGGTATTTCTCCACTTTACGATTTCCATTTCTTCATACCAAGGCGTAAAATTCTTAATGAAAATTTCCATCAAGAGTTAGGACCCTTTGAAATATTCCCAGGCCTGTTGGAAACAACCATTCCACCCCTGGTTGTATATAAATACATACCGACGCTAAACAGGGTTCGTAATTCACAGCAACCTGGCTGTAAAAATTGTTAAATCTAACACATTTCTCAATATGTGTGCTAGCCTGTGAACTACATAACAGCTATAGAAGCGATCCGTTATCAAAATAATTCACATTGCCTTCTCACACCTGTTTAAAACTACTGCTAACTTTATGAGTTTAACCTGTAGCTAGACTGGGTGTATATATTGTTGAATATATTACTGGTGTGTGGTTGTTTACCTTCTATATGTGTCTGATTTCTCCCTGGGTATAGCCAGTGTATTAGTCCAATATACGCAAATGTTTGTTAACAATAGTCGATATCGCGAAGTCTGATCTAGCTATTAAATCTGTTTAGTCTAAAATCAATCACCATGCTGTTTATAATACCACTAAAAACTATGATATAGACTATAGACAGTGTATTAGGCCAGTAAGTGCAAGTGTTTGTTTACAATAGCCAATATCACGAAGTCTGTTCAGGTTTCTAAATCTGTTAAGTCTAAAATCCAACCCCATGTTGCTTATAACACCCACTATAAAAACTATTGCTTATATAAATACAAACACATCACAAGTTACTGTTCCGGAGATCGCAGCTGATGTTTTGTTAATCTGTGTTACTGGATGACACGTAGTTCAAATTTTGATGTTTTGTTAAGTCTGTGTTAGTGGATGACACGTAGTTCTAATTTTGATGTTTTGTTAAGTCTGTGTTACTGGATGACACGTTGTTCTAATTTTGATGTTTTGTTAAGTCTGTGTTACTGGATGACACGTAGTTCAAAATTTGGTCAGCTGTGTTGTCTTAAAACTCAGCCATGTAACTCGATCGTTTGCTTAGTCATCGCCACGTATCTCTTGTCTATTTCAACTTAGCTTTTCTTGGGTCAAATCCACGTCAGAGAAGGTTATATCTATGTTAAGTGTTAATTAGCACAATCTCGGTCAACATATGACGTCATTAGACAGTCGGTACAGATCACACGAGATAGGATACAGATAGCGGTAAAACCTTAGTTTAGCGTCGGTTATTATTTCGGAATCGTATAGCAGTAAAAAAAAAACAGTAAAACAATGCCAAAGTCTGTCACACACTTCCGGAATTCACCGGAAGTACTGTAAACCATACTTTATTTGGCGTCATCTTTTATTTTTATACAGAATGTTTAAAAAAATTTGTAATCATTTTTTTGTAATCATTTTTACATTTTGTAATCATTTTTACTATTTTCGTAATCTAGATTTTTTTAACTTGGCCTAGCAGCTAGATATCTAGCTAGATCTAGATCTAATTTATTAATGGTCGCAAATCCGCTGCAAGCCAAAAAAATTAATTTTTTACATTTGACTTCATTATTTATGTTTATATTAATATGTGTTTTTTATTTTTATTTTTAGATCTACTAATTTAAATCTACTCCTTTTGTCGATTAAACTTAAAAAATTAAAACAATTTACTACAATCGACTTTCAATTTATTTATATTTCAATGGTCAAATAAACCATGGTTTACCGTAACTCTAGTTACCGAAACTCAACAAACATTACCCGATAATTTCCGACGCTAAACTAAGGTTTTACCCAGATAGCCTTATGCCATGCTTACAAATAGATATGGACTTAGTTAAAAAGTAAGTTAAGTAATTTAATTTTTGTGTCCATCTTTTGTCTATAACATAGCTAAGGAAAATAGTAAGGCCATTTTGGTAAATTGCGTATCTGTTATAATTCAGCGATAATATAATATTCTAACCTAAAAATCGAATAAGATTATGGATATTGTTCAGCAGTTTTTTAAATGTTATATAAGAATAGATTGACCAACGTAAATGTGGGTGATGGTAGTGTATCGAAAGAAAGCTGTTAGTACTATGTCAGTTATTCATCTCAACTGGTGTCGGTCTTTTTTGGGGAACATACCCTGGAAGACATTCGTACGACAAACTCATAGAACCTTGTGCTGCGTTATTACCATTACTTGCCATGTTTAATCCATGTTCAGTTATTTTGTGTTACTGTGTATCTTCTTCGTTCTTAAATTATAAGGGATTCCCTTTTAACGCAATTAAGTATACGTGTCAGCCAATATAGTGGATGTGTATACACATACGCACACACTATATGTGTATATACATATATTCTCACTCTCCTGACGCCAATACGGTGACTTTCGGATTAGCAACCGGTCATTCTACTACTTAACCACGCCGTCCCTGAATCGTATGTACTAGATCTCCCAACTCCCAACAGAGACAGGATATTACAGTAATGTAAAATATTACAGCAAAGATGGAAATAAAACGTATTTGAGGGGAATTTAAGTAATGCATTGATGTTTTAAATGTAGCAAAGTTGTTTTTTTTTTTACATTTTCAACGCATGTGTGTCTTAAATATGATTTAAACCCTTTTAAATAGAATAATAATCAAAAGTCGTACAAGTACCCATTTTTCAGCGCTATTTATTATGATCTATATAAAAGAAATAAAAGATTGCATGCATACTTTATTAACAAATAAAAATTCATGAAGGTTGGAACAAATAAAAATTCATGAAGGTTGGATTCATCTTGCGTGTACTCCAAGCCAGCATTCGATTAAATTTTCTGACGTCAGGTATGGGAATTATAATGAAGACACATTTTGGGAATTATAATGAAGACACAATTTGGAAAGTAAAATGAAGACACACTTGATGGGGGTCTGGCACTTATGGGTGAGTGATGTTTGGGTCGATCATGCACAGGTTACAGAACTTCCTGCAGTATTTGTGTCCATCCACAGCGTCCAAACAGATGGGGTGAGCTGTTTCGTTCATCAGAGCACAGTCGCGGACGGTGAGCATGTCGCTACACAGACTGGGGTGGAGGGTGGCTGGGGGTGGGGGAGTGGGGTGGGGGATTATTATTACATGTGTGGATTGCATGGATTACAACAATCATAAAAACTAAAATGTATACAATAGTAAATGAGTTATAGAATATTCTTAAAAGGGTGTGTAAGTTTGCGGTAGTTAGCTAAATACACATATGTCTTGCAACTGTCAATGAGAACCCTATCACTAATCCCAACCCTAGTCCTACCATAGCCCTAACCCTAATATCTAACCATGAAAGTAGATTTATTATTTCATGTAACTGGGACATTCTTCTGACTTGGACCTGGATTCGAACTGAGACTTTCGGGTTAGCAGTCTAGCACTCTACCGTTAGGCCAAGCCTCCCCATAATGTCTATATAAATTTCCACATACATATTGCTGTATGGTTCCAACAAAAACCTTTACACAATTTACACATTTTAACCGAGAAGTGGTCTTAATGGTTGCAACACTTTTCCCTTTTTCCAACCAAAAAAACACCTCAATACAGTTTCTACATGAATGTGGAATGTCGGAATAATAATTCTATATAATGGCAAACATTAAAACGTGTTCGAAAACTGAATTGTTTTTATAACGTGTCTAGCCTCATCATGATTAGCTACGGCAGAAACTTAAGATGTATAAAATGTTTTCATCGCTAAAAGCGAATTGACAGTGTGATTTTAAATGTGAACAGGTGCTATTCTGTGAAGATATTGTAGAAAAAAAACAAAAAAAAAACCATAGGCGTCGACTTACGGCATCCAAGCTCATCAGAGGCGTCACCACAATCGTTGTCCTTGTCGCATTTCCAGTTGATTGGGATACATGGGCCGTTGGCGCATTTAAACTGGGTGTTCTCGTCACACACTGTTATAAAAACAAAATCATAATACTTTAAGCTTCAACGCAGTTTCATTTTCTCTTACGTAATGGAATTCGGAGGTCTTAAAATAATTTGAATGTGTTAGAGTTAAATAACAAAAATATTCCGCCGATTACTTCGGAGTATCCTATAAAAGTAATAGGAAAGTTTACATAAGCGTTAGCTTACCGCAGTTGAGCTCGTCACTGGAGTCAGCACAATCTCTGTCTCCGTCACACTCCCATCTGGCGTCGATACACTTGGAGCCGTCAGCACATTTGAACTGAGTCGAGGAGCAGGAGCCGGCTGGGGCACAAGTGTTACAGGTGTTACAGGTGTTACAGGTGTTACAGGTGTTACAGGTGTTACAGGTGTTACATGTGTTACAGGTGTTACAGGTGTTACATATGTTACAGGTGTTACAGGTGTTACAGGTGTTACAGGTGTTACAGGTGTTACAGGTGTTACAGGTGTTACAGGTGTTACAAGTGTTACATGTGTTACAGGTAATACAGGTAATACAGGTATTACAGGTGTTACAAGTGTTACAGGTGTTACAGGTGTTACAGGTGTAACATGTAACAAGTGTTACAAGGGTTACAGGTAATACAGGTGTTACATGTGTTAGCAGAAGCAGGCAGCACAATATGCTAATATGGCACGCTCACGATACCCGTGAGTCCGTTTTAAAAAGCATTTAAATATGTCTCAGTTTTAGTGTACTTTGCACTTAAATTAGAACATAATGGGCTTAAAGTTGAACCGAAAAATCTTTTTCTAGTAGAAAATTACTTCCTCTGTAACCAAACCACAATTGCGCGTATCTAAAAACGATGATATAATATTAAGAGCCCGAAAGAAACCCTGCTACAGAGACCATACCGTGCCAGGAATCAGAAAATTACGCCATCTACCAGACTTCTCTAAAGACAGGAAATGTCTCTCTGGGCCTAAGATTTACTTTAGGCAACAAGATTTGTCAAAACTGGACCCGTTAAAATATAAGACCAACCCTTTCATAGTGCTAACACAACTATTCAGTGAGTTCTACTTCACCTGCCCCATGAGCCTGAGTGTGTAACACACGTGTAATATTTACTCACACCTATCCAATAATCTTGTGAGCTCTACTTCACCTGCCCCATAGGCCTGAGCGTGTAACACACGTGTAATATTACAACTATCCAATAATCTTGTGAGCTCTACTTCACCTGCCCCATGAGCCTGAGTGTGTAACACACGTGTAATATTTACTCACTGCAGTTCCTCTCGTCCCAGTTGTCGCCACAGTCGTTGTCGCCATCACACAGCCACGTGCTCTCGATACACAGGAAGTTGTCACAGTGGATCTCACCGGATGTGCACTCAACCTTGTCTGTAAAAAAACCACGTGGTTAGTTTATCAAACACGTCGATAGTGAAAAAGAAAGAAATAATCTATAACAACTTTTTATAATACAAATGTAAATTATTGGGTTGTTTGTATATGATACAAATAATAAATCATTATTAATATTTAGACATGCAATAAATTAAATATATACAGAATACAGCTTATTCTTTTGTCTATATGTGATTTGAATTATGCTAATATTTACTTGTTGTAGTCAAGTGCGGACTTGCTGTGTCTAAGCGGCATGAGAAAAACGTAGCTTGTCTTTTAATTTTAATTTTGCAATTTTAGTATGAAACATAACTTATAAACTTCTTTTTAAAGTTTACTGTTTAATGTATTCTTTGTTTTCTAACAAAATATTATGCATAAAAATCCTGACAAACTCGTGATACCACGCCGTTTGAAAATAAAGTAAAGGCCGATTCTAGCTAGGTCACCGCGCATGCGCAGAACTATTGAGTTTCGTATCTTCTTCCAAAAATCTTTTTCCGAGTAGTCACTCCGTGAAGTAAAACCCTTTACGAGTCAAAATATTTGTGTTGTAGAGAGAATGTGTGATGGGTGAAAACTTACGGCAATCTGTCTCATCAGTCATGTCACCACAGTCGTTGTCACCATCACACAAGTATTCCCTGGTGATACATTTGCCGTTGTTGCACTTGAGTTGGTGTTCGCCTGTACAGTCGGTGGCTGGAACACAGAACAAGGAACAAATCTCAGAACTTTGGCTGCAACAAATCTAAAGGAACAAATCTTGGGAAATTGGAATGCAACGAAGTTAAGAATAAATCACAGAACTTTAGTTGCAACAAATCTAAAGAAACAAATCTCGGAAAATTGGAATGCAACTAAGTTAAGGAACAAATCACAGCACTTTAGTTGCAACAAATCTAATGGAACAGATCTCTGAACATATGCTGCAACAATATTTTAGAAAGAAGTTTTAAAACTTTTACTGCAGCAAAGTTTGGGAACATATTTTAGAACAATGGTCGCAACAACATAACATATTACAACAATGAAACGTAGGAAATCACAACACAACTCAGCATCAGATATCCATGGCATACAACATCACAGGTCTCAGAACAAACATTAGACCCATGACCACATAAGACATAAGACATCCCAGTTCCCAAACATTGGTCACATGAATACATAAGTAATAACAACAAACATTGGACACATAAACACAGAAGACATACAACATCACAAGCCCCAGAACAAACATTTGACACATGACCACAGAAGATATACAACAAACGTTGGACACATGACAACATGAGACATACAACAAAGGTCCTTCAACAAACATTGGACACATGACCACAGAAGATATACAACAAACGTTGGACACATGACAACATGAGACATACAACAAAGGTCCTTCAACAAACATTGGACCACAGAAGACTTACGACAGTTGAGTTCATCTGAGCCGTCACTACAATCTCTGTCCACGTCGCATTGCCAATCTAGCTGGATGCAGACACCGTTGTTACATTGGAACTCATTAGCTCCGCAAGAAGCTGTTATGAAACGTTGTGTTTGAATTATATATATATATATAATATATATATATATATATATATATATATATATATATATATATATATATATCGTGACCTCTGGTTAACAGCCGAGCGCTCTACCTCTTGACCACTCGGTCCTGTACTTTCTACTTAGACACGGTCTAACTACAGCAAAACATATTCAAGAATTATGATTGTTTCGTACAATATTTTAAACAATTTTAAGTTCACTGTAGACATAGTTAACATTTAACAACCATTTAACAACCACCAAAACACGAACGGTGCAGGAACTGCCCGGCCACTTACTTTGCCTCTTGTAGATGCTGGCATCCTTCAAACTCCTCGAGTTCGTCTTGTATTTCCTGGAGCTCTTCTTGCATTCACCAACAGACAGCACCAGAGCTACCACCAGCAGACAAACTTTCCAGGCCTCCATTTTGTGTTCGTGATCAGATGGTTCTGTTCCTCTGTACTTATCTGCTTTTATACCAGAGATTTTAACTTTTTTTAAAGAAAAATAATTTGGTTGAAAACAGATCGAGTTTATAGGTGTTTCCTTCATGGGGTTTTGTAACTTTGGGGAGCCGGACGTTTTCCCGAAAGACACTTGCCCGAATGCCGTTTGCCCGAAGGCCGATTTCCCGAATGGACACTTGCCCGAATGCGACAAATGCCCGAATGGACACTTGCCCGAATGGGACAAATGCCCGAATGGACACTTTCCCGAATGCGACAAATGCCCGAATGCCACTTGCCCGAAGGCCGTTTGCCCGAAAAATGTCCATTCGGGAAATCGACCTTCGGGCAAACGGCATTCGGGCAAGTGTCTTTCGGATATTTGTCGTAGACCCGTAACTTTGATATGTGGAAATCTACGTCGTAGATTGGCTTGACAGTTCTACGCAGAAATCTTCTTCTTCTTCTTAATCCCGTTTGTGCCCAAGACACATGGGGCAGATGAAGTAGAGTTCATCTGATTCAGAGATTACGGCATATGAAGGGATAGTGTGGTCATTACTATGCCCAGCCGCCTCTGTTTCCCTAACGTAAGTTAAGTACCCATCAGAGCTGGGTGGACCTGAGGTCAGAAACGTTCCACTGATTTGAACCCGGATTCAGACTCGATACACTCGGATTAGCAGTCTAGCTCTCTACCGCCGTCCCATATACAGAAATCTGACAGATACCAATTATCTCAAAAAGATAAAAAGAACTCCAAATATCAAAAACAAATACCCAAAGCGACGACTTCGTACCCAAAACTACAACCACATTAAGATATTTTTCAAATTTTCCTGGGGAACAAAACCTCTGTTTATTAAATTTGCCCCCCCCCCCCCCAAACAGCCCCAAACTTAATTTAAGAGCAATTCAAACAATTTCACATTAACAATATTAAAATTTAAAATGTACATTTCTGTAAGCGACAGCGAATTTATGGTTATCGTGGTATTGTTGCGACGATTTTAAAGTGAAGTGTTTTCGTTTACAGCAGAAAAACAAAATAGATCGAAAAATGTATGACAAGTCGGTAAAAGTACAAGACGAAACAGTAAACCGGACGTCTTCATAACTGATATTTTTGGTATCAAATATCAAAGGTTGAAGAACAAACCTACATACTATTTTACACTCATAGATTTACAGAGGAAAACAGGATTTACAGCAGATATTAGGGAAGAGAAAAACATGGTAGAAACGACGTGGATGTTTGTTTTTTTTTTTTTTGTTTTTTTTTTTTTGTTGCTTTAATTTCCTTAGATAAGATTTTTTTTTTAAATTAGTATTCATAAAATAAAAACAGTAAATGTATGTGAAAGGGAATAGTTCGTGTAACCATGGTACCCATATCTTTTCAACAGCACATGCTTGCTAGAGAAAATTGTGTAATAATCAAATTTTTTCATAAATAATGAACTTGAGGTTTTTTTTTTAAAATAGATTTTGTATTTTAGGTTAAACGAGGCAGATTATATGAAAATGCATGTCTGTAGAGCTTGTATTTTATGAGACATTTAACTCATTACTCGTATACCATTAATTCTTCTACTTTAGACAGAACAGAGTTAGATTTGGGTGGTTTCTCTGTAATATATTAAACCCTTATCCTCATCTTAAACTTAGAATAATACTTACAGAGTTAAGTCGCATCTGTGTTCTTGGTTGAGTGTCTTAACTTTGTAATTACTTTTGAGCATTCTGATTAAAAGCAATGAGTTCATTACTGCTTCTACTGAATGGTTAACTTACTGCAAGTATATATATATATCTATATATATATATATATATATATATATATATATATATATATATATATATATATATGCTACATATGTGTGTGCGTGTGTGTTTGTGTGTGAGAGAATATGCGTGTCTGTGTGCGTGTGTGTATGAGTGTGCAGTCTTCACATTTCATCTAAATTCGAAACTAAATATATATTTTTTTTATTTCCGAAAATTCCGTTTCAAGACTTTTAACAAATTTATGCCTGGTAGTTTTGTTAAATCTCGACCGATAAGAACTAGACTAGAACGAGAAAACGTGACATTCGCGGCCGTGCTAGACAGCTGGTCTGGCTCTCAGTGAATCAGACAGTGCAAGCACGACATATTTTTTTTCATACAACATGTGTCACAGATTGTCTGATTTTTACCCGAACTATCAAGTAGAAAATATATTTTTTTATTTATTAAAAAACAAAACGGTTGCAAAGTTCAAGGGTTGGGCATTGGCTTTTGCGTATTATTGAAAAGCCCTTGTACTGCAGGATAAAAATGAATATTTTCAAAATAGATTCCAGTTTATTTGTAACTGCGAATATTTATTGTTACCACAGATCTAAATAATGCACTATTTCTTGTTTAAAACAAGTAATCATATCGGCCTTTTGTTCGTGTCGGCCTTTTATCTTGTCGGCCTTTTTGATGTCAGCCTTTTCTCCTACACCCATTTATAAGTACTTATTCACAGTGGTGATAAAGCTCCCCTCCTCCAATTCGGAAATGTGGGGATGCTTTTTTACCAGTAATGTCCCATACAAGTTTTTATTTTGCTACCAAATAATTTACTTATAAAACGGTTAAATAAGTCCGTAGCGCTAGGTAGAAGTCTATTTTTGTGCTTAAACTTGGATGTGTATAATTCAGTAATTAAATTTACACAGAATGAGGTTGTTTTTTTTTACCCCGATTGGCTTTCCCGTTTGGTCGACGCCCCTGAACTGTCGCCCCACCCTCCCTGGACCAGCGCAGATTCCTTAAGAACTAGTGTCTCTTTCAGACTTTTTTCTCCGATTGGGGGGGGGGGGAGAGACATGGTAAAAGTATTCATTGTTAGGAGGGGAGGGGCGATTGACGCGCTTGTGGGGTGAGGGCTTCCCATTATGAACAGATGCATGAAAGAAACTCTGCCCAGCACATATACGACAGACATTTTTCTGACTATTTACTATATTATATTTTTACTAGATCTAACTGTACAAGAACATAGCTCTATCCGTATACAGCAACAAAACTCAAATGAACTCATCATTCTAGTATACATCTTTCTCTCTTCAAGCTGCTCAATCTGTGTATCGAACCAGGATGTATCTACCTCTCCAGATTTATTCTGTTCTTCCGGTGTTTTTCAGGGCAAGCGGGATAACTTACACTGTAAACTTACGAATTGATATCTACAATGGTAAGCGAACTGTCTCATTCAAAATATGTGTACACTGTCTCATTAGAAAAAATATTTAGCAAGGGACCTCACAGTGCCTGTTGTGCTTATCTTTCTCTCCCCCATCTCTCTCCTTCTCTCTCTCTCCTCTCTCTCTCTCTCTCTTATATATATATATATATATATATATATATATATATATATATATATATATATATATATATATATATATAATTTGTTTCTTTAGGGGGGGTGACACCTCGTATTGCCGCACCGACGCCACTGATTGTATCGTGTCAGCCAAATTCATCCAACCATTATAAAAGATAAAATTAATTCGGAATAAAGACGATTAAAGGCAGTGGTCCATTTCAAGGATCTGCATACCACCCTACCCGCGTATAAATAATCATTCATGTTATATAATACCTATATGTAGGCTTTATTGACCTACTAGTGTCATCTTTGTTAAAAGGCAAATTCAAATACAGTAATTAGGCGTTTTTATTTTTTTTTATAATTTGACGCATTGAGGCCTTAAATCATGTCGCCAGACACAGAAAGAAAAGAAATACAAAAGTAAACAAACCAATGATCCATGTCAATGTGTTTCTTAATTATCCCAAATCGTCGTCTCCCAGCGCGGTCAAGATTATGCCTGCTTGTGTCAGCTGATAGTTCTGTCAACAGTGATACGCATCACTGCGCTCCACGCTGGTGAGGTACAATAGCCCCCAAATTAGACGCCACGTGGTAAGTCAGATTTGGAGGTGGGAGGTGGGGGAGGGAGGACTTCACCACATGTTGCGTCAGAACAACACATTTTTTATGTAAACGAAGGGAGACAAAGAAACTAGATCAAGATGAGGGGCGGGGTCAAGCTTAGTGTTATAAATACCCGTGAATTTTTGCTAATCCTTCTCAGTCTACATCGTCAGACGAACCGATCACACGCATTGAACATTTCTGTTTCTTGGAATTTAAATGTAAGTAGACTTTACGTGTTTTTTATAAATATAATATTACTTACAATCAGAAAATATAAGGCCTATTATTTCTATGCATGAAAATTAATATTTTAGTCATAGGTGTACCTACTAGGCCCTACATTTAAAAATCACAAATTCACCTATAACGATACATTAAATACACTGGACCAGATTTTATGAGATGTAACTCATTAATTAAAAATTAAATTAGTGGCGAATAATACCACTTAGGTACTTGAAGAAAAGAATAGGCTATGTAAATAAATTATTGTACGCAGCACTATTATGTTACTTGGACTACACGTTTTATATACGTAGCATATGATTGGTAATGCTTGTTTCTTTTCACAATGTTGAGGCTGTCTACAAGACAAAATAAAGTCTGTCCCAACTTGTAACAAAACACTATCAGTTGAGTCGTTGTATCAACTTGTAAGTCTCTCTGAATTGTGATGCTGTAGTCACAAAATGGATTACAAAATGGGAACTTCCAAAGGTTTTGATTTTTGACTATAACCACATTATAAAGTAACCGTTTCTCCTGTAATCTAAATGTCTTTGAAATATTAAAATATGTTGATTCATATCCTAACCATGTTTTATTTATTTTCAGATTTCAAAATGAACAAAGAAATCAATATGAACCAATCAGGGTTTATTCGGGATGTTCCTCATCGACCTATGTCACATGACACAGCGGTCACTATGCAAGTGTCACGTCCTGAAGTCGTTCCACAACTTTGGATGAGACAAGCACCTCAGTTAAATCACATCCACCCGGTTCGTGGTAGAACGCATATCACTCGACCAGTGCTGATACCCCAGGACTCACACGCATTGCCATGTACTCAAGTTCAGCTTCACAGCGTAACACAAGGCTTTCAACTAGTCGTGGCTCGTCAACCGGCGCATGCGCAGCCAATGTTTCCATCCGTTGAACTCTGCACTCTCCGGTCTCAGCCTGTCCTTACACGTGCCGGGGTCCAAGTCTACACGCATCCTTGTCTTCTTCTGCGTCATCAGCAACCCCGGCAACTAGCTGGTGGGCTACAATGCCACGGACGTCATACAGGACCACATAACCGGGCATATCTAACTGGCCCACTGAATAACTCACAGCCAACTGGACCACATAACCAGTCAAATTCCTCACAGTATTATACGTACCTCAGTACTGGCTCTCAATGTATGAACTTTTTTCATTCGCATCTAGCTGGACCACATTACCTTTTACGGCCAACAGGCCCACAAAACCTACCACAGCCATCGGGCCCACAAAACCTACCACAGCCATCGGGCCCACAAAACTTATCACAGCCAACAGGCCCACAAAACCTATCACAGCCAACAGGCCCACAAAACTTATCACAGCCAACAGGCCCACAAAACTTATCACAGCCAACAGGCCCACAAAACGTATCACAGCCAACAGGCCCACAAAACCTATCACAGCCATCGGGCCCACAAAACTTATCACAGCCAACGGGCCTACAAAACTTATCACAGCCAACACGACCCTCTCAGCCAGCTCGAGTACAATCTGAACAGGATCGCCAAAGACTATCAGATGAGCTACAACGGTTCTCACGAATAATCAACCATCTTGACAACTTGATGAACATAGGGGATGCAACTCGGGCTGTAAACCGCATCTTGGACAGGAGAGATACGCCAGCCTTGGATAATACAGATGCTATACAGGTAGCACCAGCTGCTTGATAGATTGTACTTACCTCCCTTGGACACACTGATATTTTATTCAGACTACAATTCTTTATTCATGTGAATCGACTATTAATGCCATTACTTTTAAAATATTATTTTTTTTATACTATTTGTTTTGTTACTACTTGTTTATGTTGTATTATTATATTTTAGTAATTAAAAAGCTTCAAAATATTAAATTTGTTTCTACCTTCATTTTCCCCCTTTTTTTTATTTTCTGATTATAAATTTTAAGCAAAAATTAAAGGGTATATTCCAATGAGTAATTTAATATAATGCCTAGCAACACTCCTGTTTCAGCTTAATAAACGACTATAATACCCCAACTTATTCATAGTCTTTTGCATTCACTTAAAAAACGTAGGCGCCAAACAGAACACTGGAGGCCCGGGGCCCCAAATAGCACCCTGTCTGGGCGCCAGAGGACAATTATAATACTCCAAGCTTATCCGTAAAAAGAAAGAAATAAACATATAGGACATGTAAGACCTGGCTTATTAACTGTTATTGATTTTAAAAAATAATTAGTAAACAGTAAGTTCAGTGTATAGAATAAATAAAAGGCTGTATTAAAAATACCTACAACATCTGCACTAATTATGTAATTATTTTTTTCCCAACACCAAAACAAAGTAATAAAAACTAAATTCTTTTCCACTAGTGCAATGTTTTATAAAGGGAAGTAATTGTGTTTTCCTAATTTATCAAAGGGAAGTAAGTGCTAAAGGACTAAATATAAATAATTTTCAGACATAATTAGAATTTTTGTAAAATATGATATTTTTTTAAATTGAGTTTAATGAACTTGCCGACAATTATTACTATCAGTTTAGAAAATGAAAATTATTTCCCAACACTTTCAGTATTAATTTTTAACTCATAAATTTAGACCATGAGCACTTTAATAATCTAACACTTTAATCCGTCGAGGTATCTTTTTTTTGTTTTTTCTTATATTCCTTTGTAATCCTCGATTACAAACATACAAACATACAGAATTGAACTTTATATATTAGACTAATAATATTCCGCACTAGTATGCACATTTTATGTGGCGTTCCATGGTGTGCATTTATTTTTTCTATGAGATTTTATTTTTATATTTTAGAAAGTTTAAGTTTTTAAAATGGATTAAAATTCATGTCTATATCCCGAGTTCCCAACCCCTGTTTTTTATATAAGAATATTCGAGAAAGTTTAGTGAAGATCACTCCCGGTTTATTTCTTTAATAGGAAGTAGGCCTACAGTCGCTAACCCGAGGAAGGTGACTTCGTTAACCCTCGTTATTTTTTTTTATTTTAACTAATTATTATTAATATTTAATTAATTATTACGGATGTCCTAGCTTGCCACAACTCCTCGTATATAAAAGTTTTAGAACACCACTACCCCTCCGCCCTCTCTAACATAAACAACACGATTTGGTAGGCTAAAACAAAACTTGAAATATTTATAACAACTTTTTGAAAACAGAAAATACTGTTAGAGGTCAATTAAAAAGTAGTAAAGCCGTTTTGTATCCACAGGCGTAGCGAGGGCGGGGGACGCGGACCGCAGCGGGTGACACCATTTAAGGGGTGTCACCAAGGCAAATAATTGAAAAATGTAATGAAGAAAAATGTTCTTTTGCCAGTTCCATTAATGAATAATTAAAGTTAAATAGTCTTTTACGTACAAATTGACAGTTATTACAAGAGGGTGGGGGTGACATCGTACGAACTATAGAGAAAACAGTGTTGCAACCAACTATATTATTAACATACAATAGATAAACATCGTTACTATAAAATCTGCAGTGATCAGAGCTTATACACATACATGTATGCGTATGGGCATATAATATATTAAAATTGTATATATATATATATATATATATATATATATATATATATATATATATATATATATATATATATATATATATATATATATATATATATATATATATATATATAATATGTGTGTGTGTATATATATAATTTAGAAAAAAAATAAATTACGTTTAAGATTTGAGACAAAGAAACAATATCATACAAATAACAATTTAAATTTGTTTATTTTATTTTATTAAAACAATATCTCTACACCGCCGAGTCGCTCTGGTCTATCAGTACAAGAGGACTTTGTGTCTGGCACCTGAGCCGTCATCAGCGCACATGTTGCAGTATTTTCTGCAGTACCTGTGTCCATCCACGTAGGTCAGACAGATGGGGTGGGTCGTCTGGTTCATGAGGGCACACTCACGCATGGTCAGCATGTCGCTACATATGCTGGGGTGGAGGGCGGCTGTGGGTGAGTCACAGGGGGTTCAGTGGGTGGTGATAGGGGGTTCAGTGGATGTGCGGATAGGTGTTGACACGGGCTTTAGTGGATGTAATGGGGGGTGGGGATATGAGGTTTAGTGGATGTAAGGATGGGTGGGGATAGGGGGTTCAGTGGATGTAAGGGTGGGTGGGGATAGGGGGTTCAGTGGATGTAAGGATGGGTGGGGATAGGGGGTTCAGTGGATGTAAGGGGGTTCAGTGGGTGTAAGGATGGGTGGTCACACGGGGTTCAGTGGATGTAAGGGGGTGGGGATATGAGGTTTAGTGGATGTAAGGATGGGTGGGGATAGGGGATTCAGTGGATGTAAGGGTGGGTGGGGATAGGGGGTTCAATGGATGTAAGGATGGGTGGGGATAGGGGGTTCAGTGGATGTAAGGGGGTTCAGTGGGTGTAAGGATGGGTGGTGACACGGGGTTCAGTGGATGTAAGGTGGGGGGGTGTGGATATGAGGTTTAGTGGATGTAAGGATGGGTGGGGATAGGGGGTTCAGTGGATGTAAGGGTGGGTGTGACAAACGACAAGTGATGTAAACAAGACCTTTGAAGAAGAGCATTCGAACTGACAGGATTTTGTCAAAAAAGGTCTAAAAATGTCAATCTTCCATCACACAATTCTGTCTAAGATGTTCCACCCACACCCTGTGAAGTAAACCCGTCAGTAAACACTACCTCGTTACCTCTTGATAAATTACCCTCGTGTCAAAATCACCTTGTCAATTACTCTCTGACTCCACCCATCTTAAAGGTATAACTTGCACCTACGATTTTCCCAATTCAGCACCCCATCCCTTATCCTATCCCCAGTCCTAACCATATCCTAACACTATCACTATCCTTAAACCTTACCTTATCCCTAGCCCCATCCTTGATTTACCCTTAACCTATCTCTACAGGAAGGTGGTGGGGGGGGGGGGTAATTGACAAAGCTAGTTCATTATGGTGGTAATGTCCTGCTCCATAGAAACATGTAACGATTTTAAGATATTAAAACATTGGTTTTATGACATTGAAAATGTGAAACTGCACCGTCACCAACTGTTGTTAACTTTCATTTCCGGGTGAAGGGTTCTATCCCCCCCCCCCCCCATTCAGCCCCCCCCCCCCACTATTCTTTCTACACCAAACATAAACTTACGGCATCCAAGCTCGTCCGAGACGTCGCCGCAGTCGTTGTCGTTGTCACACCTCCAGTTGATGTTGATGCACAGCCCGTTGGCGCACTTAAACTGGGTGTCCGGGTCACACACTACAGGTGCGATAATATAACAAAAACCTTTTTAATAACAAACATATTGTGGCTTGTACCAACATGTGAAAGGTTTTAATCAATCCGCTTAACAGTTTTCTTTACGACACACTATCTCATCGCCGGAGTCAGATTGTTTAGACTTTTGACAACTCCGCCCTGAAATTTCCCTTACCACACCCCATCTCGTCAGTTAAGATTTAGATAAACCATCCAATAAAATTGTCCTTACCACACCCCATCCCGTCAGTTAAGATTTAGACAAACTGTCCAATAAAATTTCCCTTACCACACCCCATTTCGTCAGTTAAGATTTAGACAAACTGTCCAAACAGCTTGCTCCAATATGTTAAGATTTAGACAAACTGTCCAATAAAATTTCCCTTACCACACCCCATTTCGTCAGTTAAGATTTAGACAAACTGTCCAATAAAATTTCCCTTACCACACCCCATTTCATCAGTTAAGATTTAGACAAACCATCCAATAAAATTGTCCTTACCACACCCCATCCCGTTAGTTAAGATTTAGACAAACCGCCCAATAAAATTTCCTTACCACACCCCATCCCGTCAGTTAAGATTTAGACAAACCGTCCAATCAAATTTCACTTACCACACCCCATCCCGTCAGTTAAGATTTAGACAAACCGTCCAATCAAATTTCACTTACCACACCCCATTTCATCAGTTAAGATTTAGACAAACCATCCAATAAAATTGTCCTTACCACACCCCATCCCGTTAGTTAAGATTTAGACAAACCGCCCAATAAAATTTCCTTACCACACCCCATCCCGTCAGTTAAGATTTAGACAAACCGTCCAATCAAATTTCACTTACCACACCCCATCCCGTTAGTTAAGATTTAGACAAACCGCCCAATAAAATTTCCTTACCACACCCCATCCCGTCAGTTAAGATTTAGACAAACCGTCCAATCAAATTTCACTTACCACACCCCATCCCGTCAGTTAAGATTTAGACAAACCGTCCAATCAAATTTCACTTACCACACCCCATCCCGTCAGTTAAGATTTAGACAAACCGTCCAATCAAATTTCACTTACCACACCCCATCCCGTCAGTTAAGATTTAGACAAACCGTCCAATCAAATTTCCCTTACCACAACCCATCTCGTCACTGGAGTCAGCACAGTTTCTGGTACCGTCACACCTCCACCTGGCATCGATACACCTGGAACCGTCAGCACACCGGAACTGGAACTCGTTACATGAGCCTGTGGTCGAGAGATTGAGCCTTACGTAAGTCTGTGATAAATATATTCGAAACTTACCACGAGTAGGCCCTAAATGCAAGTAAGCAAGGTACACTGGACTACTAAACTGTCCAAATACTATAGGATATAGTGTTTAATGGACAGTATGTATAATAATACAACGACAAAAGCCAAGCATCATCTTTCCTTTAACGGGGCCGTAGACAAACGCAATCTATAGCTGGATTTGAACAGCCTCATTAGCTGTGTATTCATCAGATAGATGTGCTTGGATTTGGACATGTCCTTAAGATCTAAGTCGGGGCCAAGCGTGAACTGTGTTCAAATAAGAGTTCTGGCTAGTCGTTTCTTGGCAGATGTGTGTTTAAGTTGGTATGATGTTCATTGACTTACTGCAGTCGGCAGATGTGTGTTTAGGTGGTGATGTTTAGGTTGTGATGTTTAGGTGGTGATGTTTAGGTTGTGATGTTTAGGTTGTGATGTTTAGGTTGTGATGTTTAGGTTGGGATGTTTAGGTTGTGATGTTTAGGTTGGGATGTTTAGGTTGTGATGTTTAGGTTATGATGATGTTCATAGACTTACTGCAGTCGGCAGATTTGTGTTTAGGTTGTGATGTTTAGGTTGTGATGTTTAGGTTATGAGGATGTTCATAGACTTACTGCAGTCGGCAGATTTGTGTTTAGGTTGTGATGTTTAGGTTGTGATGTTTAGGTTGTGATGATGTTATTGACTTACTGCAGTCGGCCGATTTGTGTTTATCTGGTGATGTTTAGGTTGTGATGTTTAGGTTGTGATGTTTAGGTTGTGATGATGATGATGTGACTTACTGCAGTCGGCAGATTTGTGTTTATCTGGTGATGTTTAGGTTGTTATGATGTTTAGGTTGTGATGTTTAGGTTGTGATGTTTAGGTTGTGATGATGTGACTTACTGCAGTCGGCAGATTTGTGTTTATCTGGTGATGTTTAGGTTGTTATGATGTTTAGGTTGTGATGTTTAGGTTGTGATGTTTAGGTTGTGATGATGTGACTTACTGCAGTCAGCCTCGTCGAAGCCAGTGCCACAGTCGTTGTCACCGTCGCACATCCAGACCGCCGGGATACATCGGTGGTTGTCACATCGGAACTCGTTGGGTTCACAGGTCACTAGGTCTGTGGGTAGTTATGTGGGTGGGTCGGTAGAATGATGGATAGTTAGATTTATAGGTGGGTGGATGGGTTGATTGGTGAATGAATGAGTGGGTGGGTGGGTGGATTAATGGGTGGTTACATTTATTGGTGGGTGGATGGATTGATGGATGGACGGGTATGTGTGAGTGGGTGGGTGGATTAATGGGGGTGTTTAATTTTTGGCAGGGTGGAAGGGTTGATGGGTGGATGAATGGGTGGGTGAGTGGGTGGACGGGTGGGTGGATGGATGAATTGATAAACGGATGAATAAGTGGGAGAATGGATGGGTGGGTAGGTGGATGGGTGAATTTATTGGAGGGTGAATGGATTGATAGATGGATGTATGGACAGATAGACGGGCTAATGGATGGACTAATGGACGGATGAACGGAAGGATGGATGGACGGTTGGTGGGTGATGTGGGTGTGAGGGGGGGGGGGGTTTAGGGGTGGGTGAATTTGTTGGTGGGTGCATGGTTTGATTGAAGGATGGATGGTCAAACGGATAGACGGACGGAAGGATGAGGGGAGATGGTGGTTGTGTTTGGGTGGGTATGTGGATGGGAATGTGGGTGGGTTCTGGGTGGGTAGGAGGGTGAGTGGACGAATGAATCAATGGAGCAATGGACAGATACTTGGATGTATGACATCTTACGGCAATCTGTTTCATCGGTTCCATCCCCACAATCATCATCCCCATCACATTGATAAGATTTGGTGATACATTTCCCGTTGTTGCATAAAAACTGATGGGACCCTGTGCAGTCGGTGGCTGTAGGGGACAAAACAAAACAAAAACTGATGGGACCCTGTGCAGTCGGTGGCTGAAGGGAAAAACAAAACAAAAACTGATGGGACCCTGTGCAGTCGGTGGCTGTAGGGGAAAAAAACAAAAACTGATGGGACCCTGTGCAGTCGGTGGCTGTAGGGAAAAAAAACTGATGGGACCCTGTGCAGTCGGTGGCTGTAGGGGAAAAAAACAAAAACTGATGGGACCCTGTGCAGTCGGTGGCTGTAGGGAAAAAAAACTGATGGGACCCTGTGCAGTCGGTGGCTGTAGGGAAAAAAACAAAAACTGATGGGACCCCGTGCAGTCGGTGGCTTTAGGGGACAAAACAAAACAAAAACTGATGGGACCCTGTGCAGTCGGTGGCTGTAGGGAAAAAAACAAAAACTGATGGGACCCCGTGCAGTCGGTGGCTTTAGGGGACAAAACAAAACAAAAACTGATGGGACCCTGTGCAGTCGGTGGCTTTAGGGGACAAAACAAAACAAAAACTGATGGGACCCTGTGCAGTCGGTGGCTGTAGGGGAAAAAAACAAAAACTGATGGGACCCTGTGCAGTCGGTGGCTGTAGGGGAAAAAAACAAAAACTGATGGGACCCTGTGCAGTCGGTGGCTTTAGGGGACAAAACAAAACAAAAACTGATGGGACCCTGTGCAGTCGGTGGCTTTAGGGGACAAAACAAAACAAAAACTGATGGGACCCTGTGCAGTCGGTGGCTTTAGGGGACAAAACAAAACAAAAACTGATGGGACCCTGTGCAGTCGGTGGCTGTAGGGAAAAAAACAAAAACTGATGGGACCCCGTGCAGTCGGTGGCTTTAGGGGACAAAACAAAACAAAAACTGATGGGACCCTGTGCAGTCGGTGGCTTTAGGGGACAAAACAAAACAAAAACTGATGGGACCCCGTGCAGTCGGTGGCTTTAGGGGACAAAACAAAACAAAAACTGATGGGACCCTGTGCAGTCGGTGGCTTTAGGAGAAAAACAAAACAAAAATATTTTTAAAATCCACAAACTTGACATAACCCTAAGTCAAACCCGACGTTACAATTTCTTAAAATAATATTGTTTGAATTGTTTCCCTTAATTAAGGGATATAACAAATGAAAGTGAAAGATAATTCAGAAAATAAAGCGAATGACTATGTCATTCTGATGTGTTAGAAAAATACCGTGAAGATAAGCGGCGATAATAATTTTATATTTCACTTTGCAAAGATGTATTGTTCGATATGCAAAATAACTGCTAAAATATACTTTTAAATAATGTGTAATGCAAAAATATTACGTCAGAACGTTTAACTATCCCCCCCCTACACACCACCTGGTCACACGTTGTTTCCCCCCCCCCCCTGCCCCGCACTTCCATGAGGGCAATGTCCTTTATGGTCGACGCCTAGTAAAAATTTAACTGTTATATCTACATTAGAAATTCTACCATTTTCATGGGCACCTTACTAAAACATTTCCTGCCTATTTAGAATTTTAAAATTCCTAATTTTGTTAAAGCCACTAATTTTTGTCTACAACCAGCCCTAAAAACTACGACCCTTTAGGTACTAAACAAAAACTTACTACAGCCAGCCCTGAAAGCTACGACTCTGTAGGAACTAAACAAAAACTTACTACACGCAGCCTCTGTAAATTACTACCCTGTAGGAACTAAACAAAAACTTAATACAGCCAGCCCTGAAAACTACTACAATGTAGGTACTAAACAAGAACTTACTACACTCGGCCTCTGAAAACTACTACAATGTAGGTACTAAACAAGAACTTACTACACTCGGCCTCTGAAAACTACTACAATGTAGGTACTAAACAAGAACTTACTACACTCGGCCTCTGAAAACTACTACAATGTAGGAACTAAACAAAAACTTACTACAGCCCATCTCGTCTGAGCCATCAGCGCAATCCGTGTCTAGGTCACAGTGCCAGTTGCCGTTGATGCACTCACCGCTGGTACAGTGGAACTGCGTACTGGTACAAGTGGCTGTGTACACGTGGTTAGAAGTACAAAGTACACATGGTTAGAAGTACAAAGTACATATGATTAGAAGTACAAAGTGCACATGATTATAAGCAAACTGCATTTTAATTGGATACGACATTATTTAGACACTAACTTTCACAGATTTTTGTCTGGGTGTCACCTACTACATTGTGTCACCCGGTGAGGAACGCAAACCACGCCCCGTCCCCACCCCATGACGCAAATGAACGCCAGATAGCCTGAGTTAAGGTGTAGGGCGCCGATGATAATGTAACGTTATTTTTTGGTCAGGATTAGTATACAAAAATGTATAAAGTATGAAATGGGGTACGTTTAGTGTTTTACAAATAGTTATTGGAGATACCAGACTTTTTTCTGCCTGAAATAACCTATGCCAGACGCAAATTTGTATTTCTGGTTAAGCACAAGACCGTAATGTCGAGTAAAAGTCTAAATGTAATCGATTACTTACTCTGTCTTTTGTAGAGGCTGCCGTCTGCTAGACTTTTCCTGCTGACGTTCGAGGAGGTTTTCAGCTTGTTCTTCAGACGTGAGCCGTCAGAAACAGCAGCCAGGAGAAGAAGGACCGCCACACACAGATTCAGAGCTTCCATTTTGGTGCCAGCCGAGTTAACAAAACTAGAGTGGCCAGGAACTTTTTATCTGTTTACATTTTTAATCGAGCCAAAACAAGCCAAAATAATAATTTTAAAAAATATTTTGGTCTTTTTTTCACAGATAACTTATTGTATTACTTAAAGAACCGCACCATATAAATTAGTCATGATAATTATTATATATATATTTAACGCCTATTATTTATTATTATGCAAATTTTTAGTTTTAAAATTTATTGTTAAAAGTAAAAAAACACCGATAACGTTCTGAATTGTATTTTTTTTTAATCAGCCTATTGTAGAAAATGTGATTCTGGTTATTGACTTATTTTTTATTGGGGTCTCTGAAAATTTTTCCCTTTATTTTAACAAGCTGGCTGAAACAAAATTATTAAGACATGTTTAAGAAAAAAAAACTATTTAAAATTTTGTATGACGACAAAAGTTGTGAAACAACATCTGGTTTTTATCTTTATCTCAGGTTTTCCTTGTCTTCGTTATCTTTTACCAGCAGCGTCGGATTGTTTTATCGGAGAATTGGATCATCCGAACTGTGTTAAAATGCTATAAAATAACGTCTCTCGCAGATGGGTGCTATTTCTTAACTTGTCGATAATTTCTTGTCCGGATACAACAGAAGACGACGAGATTTTGACCTATGACTTGATTGATATTATTTTTCGTTTCTCGTTTTGTTCATTAGGTCATTAGAAAAAAAAAACAAGCCACGAGTTTAAAGGTCACATTTAACGAATTACTGCATTCATTAATGCTATTATATTTTCCTTTACACGTCGCTTTGGTCTCCATTAAATAAATCATTAGTTTACAAATATTTATGTCAGTTTTTTTTCGTCTAAAAATCAAATTATGGGCCGGTGCGGCCAATCACAGTTCAAGTCAGTAGAACGTCCATGAGTACCCCCAGCTCTGATGGGTACCTAACTCACGTTAGGAAAAGTAAAAACGGATGGTCATGGTGCTGACCACACTATCTCTTCATATGTCTAGAGCCCAGAAACAAGTGAACTCTACATCACTTGCCCCATAAACCATCAGGTTCGAAAAAGGAAGTTTATTTTTACAAATCCCTTTGGTTTATACAATCCTGTACCCATTTAAAAAATCATCAATAGACAAATATTTATTTCAGGTTATGTTCCCCAACTTATCCCTTTGGTTTATACAATCGTGTACCCATTTAACAAATCATCAATAGACAAATATTTATTTCAGGTTATGTTCCCCAACTTATCCCTTTGGTTTATACAATCGTGTACCCATTTAACAAATCATCAATAGACAAATATTTATTTCAGGTTATGTTCCCCAACTTATCCCTTTGTTTTTTACAATCCTGTACCCATTTAAAAAATCATCGATAAACAAATATTTATTTCAGGTTATGTTCCCCAACTAATCCCTTTGGTCAATAAAATCTGGTCTTCATCGGGTACCCTACACCACAATAAAACTAGAAAGATAAGTTAGCCAAAATGCCGAATACCAAAAAGCTTTTTTTTCCAATTTCTCGAACGCCGTTCTCCTAAATTCCACAATATGTGCAATTTATAATAAACTAAATGTTATACACTTAAAATTTAGCTTTTATTTATAACAGAATTTTTATGAATATATTTAAAAAAATAACAAAACGTTCGACTCACCTAGATGAAAAGTGCACACACATGTCACTTCTATTAAATGTTTGCTAACCAAACTAGTGATTTCAATATGTAATTGTATTGGATTAACTAAGAACCTTTGTTTTTACATAATTAAGGGCATTCATGTACTTTAAAAAATAGAAAAACTGAAAACCATGTGTTTAAATCTTTACATCAGTTATCTTCCACCCCAATCAAAGATATGGTAAATTTGAACCATGAAAAAATTATATATATATATATATATATATATATATATATATATATATATATATATATATATATATATATATATATATATATGTGTATGTGTATATATGTAAATTAGAAACAATTTAATTTACGTGTAAGGAAAATGAAGCAATTTCATACAAATAACAATTTAAATTTGTTTATTTCATTTTATTAAAACAATATCTCTACACCGCACTTGAGCCGTCATCATCGCACATGTTGCAGTATTTCCTGCAGTACCTGTGTCCGTCCACGTAGGTTAGGCAGATGGGGTGAGTCGTCTGGTTCAACCGAGCGCACTCACGCATGATCAGCATGTCGCTACAGGTGCTGGGGTCGAGGGCTGCGGTGGAATAGTCACAGGGGGTTCAGTGGATGTAAGGGGTTTCAGTGGGTGGTGATAGGGGTTCAGTGGATGGTGATAGCGGGTTCAGTGGGTGGGTGGTGATGGGGGGTTTAGTGGATATAAGGGTGGATGGTGAAATGGGTTCAACGGATGTATGGGTGGATGGTGAAAGGGGGTTCAGTGTATGTAAGCGTGGATGTAAGGATAGATGGGCTCAGTGGATGTAAGGGGTGGATGTAAGGATAGATAGGCTCAGTGGATGTAAGGGGTGGGTGGTGTGACCTACTTAGGTCATATTTTTTTTTTTTATAATTTATTCTTTTTGTTTATGTAATCGACCTTGAAAGGGTTGTGGCACAATCACCAGTACTTTTCCGTCACGTCATGTGATGAAATTTTAATTGGTTATTTCGATCCTTAGTAAATCCTAAACCAATCGTCTTATGACTTTGGAGTGACCTCCCTAGGTTTTGATCTGGTTTAAAAACCCCTGAACAAAAAGACTCGATGCAGCCTTCTATCAGAAATCTCGAGAGTGCCATGTGTGTGACGCAATTCTGTGTTACATAGTTTGTAGCGGCAATTTTCCCCCTATTATTGGTGTTTCTAGTGTCATTCAGTGTTTTCAGTATATTTCCTTAATTAAGCTGTGTTCACTCTCCAATGCCACATCTGTGATATTTGTAATCTAGTCTAGTGATTCTTTTCATCAACTGTGAGTTGGCTGTAAGTTGGCTTTTGGTTTATTATTTACTCTTAGTTTCTATATTATTTTGTATAGACCTAGTGTCGTTTTTATTCCTGTACACATATTAAACGGTTGTTGACAGATTAAAGTTGTTGTGAGTCACATCAGTTCAGCGTGTTTATACCCCTAGATCTTATTCTCGAGCCCAATTTGAAATGTGTTGTTTTCTGACCCTGTTTAGTAGACATCTGTCATTAGCCATTCCAAAACGAACCCGGGTGTTCGCTAGCTCTGCGACTGTCAGAATAGCGTTCGTAATAGTGGTGATAGGGGGTTCAGTGGATATAAGGGTGGGGGTGACAGGGGGTTCAGTGAATGTAAGGGGGTTTCAGTGGATGTAAGGGTGGATGGTGACAAGGGGGTCAGTGGGTGGGTGGTAATAATGGGGGGGGGGTTAATGGGTGGTGATGGGGGGTTTAGTGGATGTAAGAATAAGTGGTTATAGGGGGTTTAGTAGATGTAAGGGTGGGTGGTGATAGGGGGTTCAGTGGGTGGGTGGTGATAGGGGGTTTAGTGTATGTAAGGGTGAGTGGTGATAGGGGGTTTAGTGGATGTAAGGGTGGGTGGTGATAGGGGGTTCAGTGGGTGGGTGGTGTTAGGGGGTTTAGTTGATGTAAGGGTGGGTGGTGATAGGGGGTTCAGTGGGTGGGTGGTGATAGGGGGTTTAGTGTATGTAAGGGTGAGTGGTGATAGGGGGTTCAGTGGATGTAAGGGTGGGTGGTGATAGGGGGCTCAGTGGATGTAAGGGTTGGTGGTGATAGGGGGTTCAGTGGATGTAAGGGTTGGTGGTGATAGGGGGTTCAGTGGATGTAAGGGTGGGTGGTGATAGGGGGTTCAGTGGATGTAAGGGTGGGTGGTGATAGGGGGTTCAGTGGATGTAAGGGTGGGTGGTGATAGGGGGTTCAGTGGGTTGGTGGTGGTTGTGGGTTTAGTGGATGTAAGGGTGGATGGTGATAGGGGGGGTCAGTGGGTGGGTGGTGATAGGGGGTTTAGTGGATGTAAGGGTGGGTGGTGATAGGGGGTTTAGTGGGTGGGTGGTGATAGGGGGTTTAGTGTATGTAAGGGTGGGTGGTGATAGGGGGTTTAGTGGATGTAAGGGTGGGTGGTGATAGGGGGTTTAGTTGATGTAAGGGTGAGTGGTGATAGGGGGTTCAGTGGGTGGGTGGTGTTAGGGGGTTTAGTGTATGTAAGGGTGAGTGGTGATAGGGGGTTCAGTGGGTGGGTGGTGTTAGGGGGTTTAGTGGATGTAAGGGTGGGTGGTGATAGGGGGTTCAGTGGGTGGATGGTGATAGGGGGTTTAGTGTATGTAAGGGTGGGTGGTGATAGGGGGTTTAGTGGGTGGGTGGTGATAGGGGGTTCAGTGGGTGGGTGGTGATAGGGGGTTTAGTGTATGTAAGGGTGAGTGGTGATAGGGGGTTCAGTGGGTGGGTGGTGTTAGGGGGTTTAGTGGATGTAAGGGTGGGTGGTGATAGGGGGTTCAGTGGGTGGGTGGTGATAGGGGGTTCAGTGGGTTGGTGGTGGTTGTGGGTTTAGTGGATGTAAGGGTGGATGGTGATAGAGTGTTCAGTGGATGTAAGGGTGGGTGGTGATAGGGGGGTCAGTGGGTGTAAGGGTGGATGGTGGATGGTGAAATGTGGTTCAGTGGATTTAAGAGTGAATGTTGGATGTTGAAAGGTGGATCAGTGAATGTAAGGGTGAATAGTGGATGTTGAAAGGTGGTTCAGTGGATGTAAGGGTGGGGTGTGACAAACAACAAGTGATTTAAACAAGACATTCGAAGAAGAGCATTCGAACTGAGGATTCTGTCAAAAAAAGTCTGAAAATGTCAATTTTCCAACATATAATTCTGTCTAAGATCTTCCACCCACACCCCTGTCAAGTAAACCCGTCGGTAAACACTGCCTTGTTACCTCTAGATAAATTACCCTCGTGTCAAAAATCACCTTGTCAATTACTCTCTGAGTAGTTACCGCCCCTCTTATGGGTATTACTTGTACTAATGATTTTCCCTATTCAGCACCTTATCCTTTCATTTAACCATATCAAAAGTCCT